TGTATGTAACTGTATGTATGTAACTGTATGTATGTATGTATGAATGAATGTATGTACGTATGTATGTATATATGTACGTACGTACGTATGTATGTATGTATGTATGTATGTATGTATGTATGTATGTATGTGTGTACGTGTGTACGTATGTATGTATGTATGTATGTATGTATGAATGTATGGATGTAGGTATGTATGTGTGTGCGTATGTATGCATGCTTTCATACACGTATGTATGCATGTATGTATGTATGCATGTAATGTATGTGTGTATGTATGCATGCATTGATGCATGCATGTATGTACGTATGTGTGTTTGTATGTATGCATGCATTCATGCAGCAATGTATGTGTGTGTGTCCATGTATGTGTGTGTATGTATGTATGTATGTATGTACGTACGTAGGTATGTATGTATGGATGTATGTATGTATGTATGTATGTATGTATGTATGTATGTACGAATGTACGTACGTATGTATGCATGTATGCACGTATGTATGCGTATATGTTTATGAATATGTCTATGTATATGCATATGTACATGCACATGTATATGTATGTATGTGCTTGTCTGTGTATGTATGCGGATGGATGGAAGGATGGATGGACGTTGTATATTCATGACGCGCGTTTGTGAAGAGTCATGCTTCGTGCACTTCATCCAGACATGAATCCATCAAAGGAAACCCGAAGCCCTTAGCCTGAACCCCTAAATTCGTAAATGCTGAGCCAAAACACTGTATGGGCCGAGGTTCTGTCCACACTGGAACGGGCAGTCCAGACCAAGTTCCTCCGAAAGAGCCAGGCCTCACCCCATCGCTGTGTTTTGGATGTGGGCACTTTCTCAAAAGGGGTTGAGGTACGGAGTCACGTGAAGCGCGGATCAATGGTCAATGTGGAAAATTTTTCGAGTGCCTTGTGACTGAGAGGTGCCGCCCAGGCAAGATCCGAAGCAAGAAGGATCGGACACGTTGCTGAAATCCAGCTTCACTCGCGACGCTGGCCTGCTTAGCCGCTGTTTTCCCTCGCACAAACTCGGACAGTTTGACAAAATGGGTAAGTCTAAACATCTTTCGAGCCTTGGCTGAGTTGCAGAAGGCCTCTCTTTGCCCTTCTCCTCAGGACTGTGGGAGTTTTGCACTGGCCAACCTGTCCTTCCACGAGGCCCCAGAGTTCACTGGCTGCGGCCTCGCTTCTGCTGCGGTGCCCAGCACCGCAAGAGCCAGGGCTCAGTGGGTTTTGCAATTCGACGGTTCATACAAATCCTTTGGATTTGAGCATGTGTGCTTGCGGCAAAGCGAAGCCCACTGTTGCAGCGACGGTCTAGCTAGAGGCATGAACATCATGAACATGCGGAAGCTAGTTTGTCTGACTGACCTTCTGCATGGCTGGGTACGGCAAAGACAGGCAATTTCGGAAAGATGTCCGTGGCAGACACGTTGCATCATGCCTCGTGCAGTGCAGCGTATCTCCTGTTGAAGGCTTAAATTCGGACGACGGCCTGTTTATCACATTTTCGGAACCGTGCCGGCGAATTTGCAACGGACAGTGTTGTCGAAACTCAGCACTACCGAAATTGCCTGAACTGAGAGTTGCTAGCAGTTACTGGCGGAGTTGCTTGTGGATTCTTTCTTTAACCACAAGTACATGAGCGTTTTAAGATTTTTTTGGGGCAATGTTGTGCAGAAGCTGAGGCAATGCCCACTGCCACCCGGCTTTTCCACGTGGTGCCTTCAGTCAGGTTCTTGCAGCCAGACACGGGCCTATGCTTCAACGTGAAAGATCTGTCTGTGCTGAATGAGCAGTACAACACTGACTTTGCACCGTGCGTGGATGGTTACAACGACTTTTTTTGGAACGGGTCGCAGCTGGTTCTCCTTGCAAAGCCCACGCTATGCTTTGGTATGGGGCGTGGTACGCCTGTTGCGGAAAAGGTGTCTTGTCATTTTGAGTTTGGCTGAACGGAGCTGCTTACCCTGGAGCGCCAGCTTAGAGGTGTGTTTGGGTTGCTGACATGCTGAGAATGAGTGCCGAAACTCGTCAGTTCAGCCGTAAGCTGCCTGCCCAGGTCATCCTGCCGACCACCATCGACTACTGTTCTTGGGAAGCAACGACGCAATGGTCCGTGTCCAACGCGACCTTCCAGGGTGTTGGTGGGACTTCGAAAAGGGGTGCAGTCTTATGTCCCCCAACTGAGTCTTTGGCGGTTGGCTTTGATTAGATGCAGCATGAAGCTAGCAGAGACTGAGGGGAATGCATGCTTGTCACCACGGCGCAGGCATGTGGAACTTCGGTTGCTATAATGCGAAGTATGAGGATTTTGACCACTGCTTCTTGGCTGTTGTGTAGCATCTTTCGGTTATTTCTCCCTCCCCAGCACCCCCCCACCCCCCAACAGCAGGTTCCCACCCCCCTGAAAAGAGCCCGCCCTCCAGAGGGATCCAGAAGAGCCTGTTCGAGGTGCAAAAAAAACCTAGCCCAAAATGAAGCTAGAATGGTCCGTTCAGGTCCTGAACCATGGACCCTAAGTCTGGATGTGCGTGGAGATGAGCATTGAGCTAAAGGATGCTTCCAGAGAAGAGTGGCCTAAGCCCTAAGCATTTCCAACTCGGATAGACGACAGGTACCTCCATCCGCTATAAACAGATGCACATGGTGGATGTGGTCAACGAAATCAAGTGTCCGCGTGACTCCGTTGTGAGCTACATACACAAGGACCCGAACTTCCTGTGCACATCACGAGTAAAGCTGCGGGATTAGAGATGTGGCTGTTGGAGTTCGAGGTGGAGAAAACATGTCTGGTTCTTCAGGATCGTGTCCGTCAGAGCGTGAAGAAGTTTGGTCGGGACCGGGGTCATCAGTGATGACGGATTTTGAAATGCGCATTTCAAGGTTCGGATGAAAAGATTGATGTTGTGTTTCACCACCCAAACTGCCTTTGGCTTCGGCAAGCCCACCTTGGACTCCAGCGAACCTGTGTGCAAAGCTTAGTCGAAGCTTCGGTTCCATTGCCGTCCTCAGCTCAAAGATGCAGCGGCCTTCAGGATCCCAACAGCCTGTCCATCAAGTATCGATGCTGGGCTGCTTTTTGCACTCGTCTTGAGCTTCGGGCTGTAGCCGATCGGGCCTGAACCCTAAGAGGCCCTAAACCCCAAGCCACACCACCGCCCTAAAGCCCGACTGTGGTGTGTTTCGTGTCCTTCTGTCGAGGATGCAATCGGATGGTCTCCATGGGCTCCTGTTTCCCGTACCAGACCCCGCCCTTCGAGAACTCCGGTGAGGCTGGCAAAGTTTCAAAGGCTTTGCGTGGTGTCGTGGGGGTTCAGCGGAAGTTGATCAGAGAGCCTTCCGAGGCATGTCAGGAGCGGTCTGGTTCAGCATTGCAGGCTGAATTTCAAGCTCTAGCTCGGGCTCTACTCTTCAGCTTAAAATGCTACTTCTTAATAAGCACTCCGCCAATCTCTCACCCAACATTTCAGCAATCCGCAGCCTTCTTCCCGCACCTCTGGCCCAACTGGAAATCATTCTACTGCCGGTGAAGACTTAACTTGGCACCACAGCCGCCAGCGTCCGGGCAGCCCTTCAGCGATTTATGACCCCACTGCAGATCCCGGACACTGCCCTGGCGGCCTCGCGAGAACGGGCCACTTAACATCAACCCAGAAAGCATAAGCCTAAACCCCAAACCCCATAATTAAAGAAAACCCTAAAACCCTGAACCAGGGCCCTCTAAACCCTCGAAGCCCTCTAGAAGCGCAACGCGCGCGGCCGCGCCCTCCTCGCTCCTCTGAAACTCGGATCCTGGAGGCCTTCCTGCAGTCCCACGCAAGCTGTCCCCTGGGCTCCGGCCTCCAGGAGACGATGGCGAAGTCGGGGATCCCGATCCCTTCGTCTTCTTGTGGTTTTTTAGAGATCCCGTTTATGAAACCAAGAAGGGCACCATGGACCTCCCTTTTCGGAAGAAGCGATTGGGGGTTGTCTACGGTCAAAAGGGGAACCTTACTGCATCTGAGCACTTCGCGAGGCCTGTGCGTGCGCGTGAGTGTGTTTCTTTGCGCACGGCAGGAGTTGCAGGTCGTGGAGTCAGCAGTTTCCGTGTCTTTCCGGATTCTGTGCCTTGGAAAGCTGTAATTTCTTGAGGGGGCACCATGCCATCCCTTCACAAGGCACCTCAACCGCCGCAGATTAGTGGATTCGGTAAGCTGCAAGGTGTTGCTACATGAGCCCGCTCGCCATGGGCGCGATCGTGACAGGACCGATCCTTCTTTGTGCAGTCTGTTTGGAGAGAAGGCTTCCATAGCCCCTCTGAAATCTGTTTGCGATTCTGATCGCACTTATCCGTTTATGTTCCGGCGCTGAACTCTGGTGCACAGGCCAAGTCCCCAGAACGTGCATGAAAGTTCTGTTGAGGCGGAGCGCCTCGTCTTCACAACTGGGAGGGCGCCTACTGCCCCTATGAACGCGATGAAAGTGGTCGTCTCTTGGCTCAGTACGCTATTTCTGAGCCCAACTCCCAGCATCAACCAAGTTAGCATGCCTTAGGAGACTGCACCTGCTCGAGCCCCCAAGCCCTCTGCAGCCCAAGCAGGGCTTTCCTCGCCGTTGACCCTCCCTTCCTTGACCCAGGATTGAAATACTCGCAGCAGTCCAGCTTCGGGCTGAGCAAAAGCGGTGAGCTGGCTTTCAACTGGTCCACGGGTGCCCTGGCACGATATGGGACCAACAGTGTTCTCGAGTCAAGCGGTAAGTGGTTGTTCCGGTGCACAGCACAAGCTTTCTTGCCACCGTGCTTGTGATAGGCATTTGGGTGCTGGGATGGCGCGAGACATGATGCCTGCGGGACTGATATGTCCAACCCCAAATCATTTTGCATTTTGCTTCTGTTGCTCGCAGGCCAGTGGTGTTTGACAGCCACGATTTGGTTCAAGGAGACAGTGACCTGCGTGGATAGCACGGTGGCAGAAGTCTTGGACGATGCTGGGCAGCCACATCTGTTCGTTGAGCATCCCATGCACTTCCAGTGTTTGGGGGGGAAAAAGCGAGAAGATAGGGGATTCGGATTCAGGCTGGGGGCTCTGGGTGAGGGTTACGGACCTTCTACTCCGCTACTCTCTGTTCGCTTTTAGGGTTTAGCGCAATTTCATTTCAGGATTTCCTTCTTAGGGCTTAGCGTTTCCCACTCACGGGTCGTTTTGGGTGTTTAGGGTGTAAAGCTTTCCACGACTAGTTTGGATTTGGGTTTCCAGATGTTGTTTCTCTGAAGGGTGTAGGGTTCGCCATAGTGTGCGTTTTGGGTCGTCCTACCTTCTTGTCGGGTTTGGGGTTTGGGGTTTCTCGCCGGGTTCAAGGGTTCCCTTTCCACTTTCCACCCACTAACTTCTTGAAAGGTGAACTTGCTTGCTGGCCGCTTTGTGCCTTTTGTGATGCATACAGTGCAGGCTTTGCTCCTGAATCACTTTCCATGTCGCAGCATCGATGCTTCGCAAACTTAGCTGCAAAAGCCCTGCTGTGCTTGCTTGCTTGCTGGTTGTGTGGTTTCTTGTTGGAATCATATTGGTAGCGGAGCTTGAGAGGTTTAGGGGATAGGCTAGGCTGCGCCCTGCTTACCTGAGCCTTTTGCGATGGCTTCCAATGCGGGAGGCGATCCGACGGCACATGCTGTGCCAGTGCCTGAAGACCCGTGGGATCGAGATGACCCATGGACAGCGACAGCAGCAGCGGAAGGAAGACCAGCCTCGGCGCCTACTACGCCTTTGCGAGATCAGCCGAGTACTTCCCCGATTACCCCTGTGCCCATGGGGGACTTGATGCCTCAAGGAGTTCCTGTGAGCTTGGGCCCGCACCCGTCAATGAGTGGACCTGCGTCTTCGTATGATGTGGCAGGATCTGCTCTTTCTGCTGCAGGAGCTCTTCCTCCTGGATTTCCCGGCGGGTGCCCAGGAGGAGTACCACAAGGCCCTGGCGTATGCCCTGCAATTCCTCCTGTTCCTCCTGGATGGTGGCCTCCAATGGGAAATGGCTGTGGCATGCCTTGGCAGTGGCAATGGCCTTGGGGAGCTCAGGCTCCAATGATGATGGGCCCGGGCATGATGATGCCCCCCTTTGGAGCAACGACACCGGCGGCTTCTGGGACTTCATGGGCGGTGCCTTCGGTGCCTCCTGTCTCGGTGCCTTCGCCGGGTGAGACAAGGCAGGCCTCAGCACAAGAACTTCCGAGAGTACCGAGTGGGAAGAGTGAACCAGATGCGGCCGAGCAGGGTGCCGAGCAGGACGAGGACCTCGACGGCATCTCTACCCCGGCTTCCTCGGAGTTGCGATCTATGTTGAGGCGCAGAGGACGGGAGACCTATGATAGGCCAAAGTCCTCGATCGGTTCAGTGCGCATCGAGGAGTTCCACGGCGATCGGAAGAAGTACTTGAAGTGGAAAAATGCGGTGCAAGCCCAAGAAGCTTTGTACCGCCTTGAGGCTTCCGAGCTGACGATGCTGGTGTATCTTTCCACAAGGGGAGAAGCGAGAGACTTGTTGGACCAGGTGCCCTTGACTACCCTCACGGCCCCCGGCGGCATCCATGTTATGTGGCGATTGCTGGATGAAGGGTACGGCGAAACAGGGGCAGAGCTCTTCGAGAGGGCGGAGAAGGAGCTCAACACGTACCGTCGGCTCCCGGGCCAGAGCGTGGCAACATACATCGCTTCCATGAAGAGGCTCAAAAGTCAATACGTCAGGGTGGACCCAGACTCTCAGATTTCGGACCGAGCCTGGGCACAGAGACTTTTGTCAAGGGCTTCTTTGTCTAAGAGGGAACGGCTGGATGTTTTCTACTCGGCCGGCGGCGTCTACTCGACCACTGCTATCGAGAATGCCTTGCGGCACAGGTGTGCAACGGTTCATGAAGAAGAACGCCGCCTACCTGCTCCTCGGGACATGGCTGCGACTTTGCGGCCACGATCGTCGTCTACGGGGCGGTTCTCCTCAGCCAGCTCTACGCGAACGAGCTCGACCGCGTCTTCTGGAAGAAGCACAGCACGACAGCCCAGGAGACACGGAACCCATGTGGCGGGAGCAGAGCTCATGGACACAGTTCCCGAGGAGGGTGCCGAGGACGATGAGGACCTTCACGAGGAAGCCGACGAGAGCTTTCTCGAGGGGGAGATAGAGAGTGCAGGGGAGGAAGAAGATGATGGTGAGGACGTTGGCTCCGACGGCGAGAGCATGGCAATGGACGTGAAGGAGGCCTTCCAAGCAGGGTGGAAGGCGAAGCAAAAGGTTTCGGCTCAAAAGCGGTCCCGAGGATGGGCCAAAACTTCCCGAACGACCTCTACTACATCCAGCCCGTCGAAAAGCGTTGCCGAAAAGAAGCGTGCTTCGAGCTGTGCCAGCTGCGGCCAGAAGGGTCACTGGCGTGGAGACCCAGAGTGCCCCAATGTCAAGAACGGCACCGACCCCCTGCATCAGAAGCCAGGTGGCCGCGAGGAGGTGCACTTTGTGAACTTCACTTTCATGGAGGGCGCTAGTCAGTTTGAGGTGTGCCCTGCTTGTTCCGGAGCGGTCCCCATCACAGCCAAGTTTTGCCCGGAGTGCGGTCACAAAAGTGGAGGCAAGAGGTCTCCATGGGAGATCGTATCCGAGGCCGCGGCCAGCGCTGACAGCAGGGAGCCCCCGCCACGTCCAATGAGAGATGTTCGGCCTAGCGCTTCTGTTGCTAAGGCAAACTTTGGCTCGAAGAAGGACAAGCAGCTGCGACTACGAGGCGATGAGGTGATTGGTGCGGTTTCTTCGATGTCCAAGGATGAGCGCAAACAGTTGAAATATGCCCTGGTGGAGGAGGAGGCCCGGGAAGCGAGTGCAGCTTTGGACGCGCATCGTGCTGCTTTTGGTGCCCGGTCCTCCGAGATGGCCACCCCTCTCCTCAACGACGTTGGTGGCTACCCGAAGCCAGGCTGGAACAAGGACCGGGACCAGAGGCCAATCATCCCTACCTCGGCTTCATCTTCGGTGCCAGCACCCCCGGACAAGAAGGCTGTGACCGGCAAGGATAAGCCAAAGGCACAACATCACCGTGAACTCGAGGAGTTTCGTCGGGAGCTCTACGACAAGGCGTGGACAGGGACCCGGTGCCAACCTTCAAGTGCAAGCCCTATCCCTACGGATGCGCAAGCGGTGTGTCCTCACTACTACCACGACCTGCTCTGGATTGCCAATGCCCACGGCCATTACGCACGATGTCGCCGTTGTGATCTGAAAAATGTTCTGTACTACTCGGAGAGGCATGGTGTGCTCATGGCCGGCCAGCAGCAAGAGGAGAAGGACGAGCCGCATCCACTTCCTCCCGCTCCTCCTGGCCAAGTGGTTGCAGACAGTGGCTGCCGCACCGCGGTGGCGGGATGGAACTGGCATCGCCACCTGCAATCCGAGCTCCAGAGGCAGGGCATCCGGTGGCATGAGGTGCAGGAGTATGAGGTCTTCCAGTTCGGCTCGGGCGGCCCTGAGGTTTCGCGGAAAGCCTTTATATATCCGGTGGCTGTGGGAGGACAGCTGGATGTACTTCGCATGTCGTGCGTGCACAATGGAGCAATCAATTGCCCCGGGCTGGTGGGCCCTTCTGAACTGGCCCGATGGAAGGTGGTGTTTGACTTTGCGGCCAAGACTGTGGAGGTCTTCGGCACGAAAGGCCCCATGACCTTGACTATGACGCGTCACCCGGCACTGCATCTCATCGACTACCCCGAGGAGATAGCCGATGTCTGGGAGGCCCCGCACATGAAGGAGCAGCTTCGACTTTTGACACGGTGCCCCCAGAGCCTGGCCTTTGTGAGCATGGGTTCGGCCACGGGTGCAGATGTCAATGAGGGCTATCTGGCCTCTTCATCGGAGGCCGAAGAAGAAGAGTTGGATTTCGAGCCCCAGCCAGATGCCTTGAACGACCAAGCGGCCGCCCGGAGAGAACAGCTCAAGAAGGAATGGATGTCCTTGCTGGAAGGTGACCTTGGTATCAGGGTGATTCGCTCACTCCCTGATGCTGCTGGTACACCCTCAGAAGATGCATCTGGAGATTCTTCGTCGACTGAACTTCGCAGCGACCCCGGCAGCAGAACCTCAATTACAAGTCACGAGTTTGGAGTGGAGCTGAGTGAGTCTTCGGCAGAAGACCCAGAGGAGCTGGACCGCGACTTCGACCAGCCAGCCCCTGACTTTGCCGATGCCGAGGTGAAGCCTACATTCTTTCACAAGACCATGCGAAAGAAGCTTAGCGGTGCAGGTTCTGTGGTGTGGCAGGTCGCGACCAAGCCGACCCAGGGAAATACTCCGAAACCTGCCACCATAGAAGCTCCTTTGCGGTTGCAGCGGCGATCTGGACCATGGCGTGTGTTGGAAGTCTTCACGTGTGCGATGGCCATTGGACTGGCCGCGGCGAGTCGCGGCTGGGATGTGGGCCAGCCCGTTGATGAGTCGACTTTTGCCCTCCACACCTACGCTGGCCAAGAAGCAGCCACCAAGTACATGCGCGAGTTCGAGCCCGACCTTGTGATCTTCTCCTGGCCTGCCGCCGCTTGGCATGACTTGCGTTCTCTGCGGGCACATGAAGGGGCTCAACTAGATGCGGTTGCCTGTGAACGAGCCCGCCAACGGCCCGTCTTAGAATGGATGAAGCATGAAGTTTTGGCGTGTCGGGCAAGGGGGACTGTGGTGATCGGCGAGAACCCTGCACGCTCTCGTGCTTGGGCAGAGCCAGCGGTGGTGCAGGCGTTTGACCATATGCCCTGGGCACGCGTTGATATGTGTGCTTGGGGCATGACGCGGCCGGCTGCTGAGTGGGCAGACCATGGGCTGCACACGGCCCAGCCCCTTTACCTTAAACGACCTACGCGTCTGGCGGCACCACAGCCTCTACTACAAGCACTTTGCCGCAAATGCCCCGGCGGCCACCGACATGCTTCTTCTTGGGGAGGGGTGCGTCACAAAGGCCGCTGGTGCTCGATGGCCGCCGCCTGCGGGTGCTACACAAACTCCTTTGCCGAGGCGGTGGTGGTGGCTACAGAAAATTTCGTTCGGAGGGCTTCTTCGTCTACAAGAGTTCCGGTCACCTCCTTTGTTATCTCGCCGACTCTTCCGGAGGAAGCCCTGATGGAAGATGATGGTGAAATTTTGGCCGAGCAAGACCTTATGAACCACAACCCAGAGGCGATCAACGAAGAGCACTCCGGAAACCATGGCGACAGTGGGGCGGAAGGCCCAGATGACCTTAAGAACCACGACCCAGAGAACGAAGAGCAGTCCGGAAACCATGGCGACAGTGGGGTCCCAGCTAGAGGTGATGGTGCAGCGCCAGGATCCCTTCTAGATCGCCTGTATCTAGTCCACAGACGGCTGGGTCACCCGAGTAACGAGTCTCTCCGCAGAATCCTTGAGATGGCTGGTGCGAAGGATGAGCTGCTCCAGATGGCAGATAAACTGGTGTGTCCCACGTGTGCTTTGAGGTCGCCTCCGAAGAGACCTTTTCCCGCGAGACCTGAGGCAAGACCTATCATGTTCAACTCGGTGGTGCATATGGACCTCAAGTACCAGAAGGATAGTCTGGGCCAGATTTATGTTGCTTTGTCTTTGGTAGACGGCGCGACGTGCTATCACCAGGCCGTCCTCCTACGCAGCAGGGACTCTGAACATGTGGGTCGAAAGTTCCTGAAGTCATGGGTGTGTGTGTTCGGCATCCCCACTGAAGTCGTGCATGATCAAGGGGGAGAGTTCGAGTCAGGATTCATAGCAGTCCTGGAGTCACATTCGATAGCCTCAAAGGTGACGGGAGCACATGCTCCTTGGCAGGCTGGATTGGCCGAACGTCACGGGGGACTGCTGGGTGTGGCCTGGGCCGCGATCATCCTGGAGCAGGGCGTCAAGGACCGAAAGGAGATGAAATGCTCTCTGGCATGTGCACTCCAGGCAAAGAACTCCACTGTCAGCAGAAAGGGGCACTCCGCATATGCCCTAGTGTTCGGAAGGCAGGCCTACTTCCCGGAATTGCTTGACGAGCACGTTTGGGAAGCAGCCTCTCTTGGATATGCGCTTTCCATTGAAGGAGAGGTTGCTCGTCAGAGTGAAATGAGGGCAGCCGCGAGAGTGGCCCTCTTGAGGGGCGATGTTCACGAACGACTGCGGAAAGCACTGCGGCGAGCCCCTGGAGGAGAACGTCGCGAATATGCTCCCGGCGAGCTTGTGCACTTTTATTCTCCGGAGATGCCAGGCCAAGCTCGCTACAAGAAGGACGCCGGATCGTGGAGGGGCCCAGCTGTAGTACTTCTACCTGACGGGGCCCATCGCTACTTCTTGAGCTGGCGCGGACGGTGCTGCTGGTAGCCGGCGCCAACCTCAAGGGAGCTTCCTTGGATGAAGCCCAGGACCAGGAGCTTCGTCTTCGGGAAGCTGAAGTAGATTTGGCCAAGGGCTACCTCGACCTGACGGATGCGGCGGCCCCGGACGAAGATGGTCAACTTTCGCAGTTGGTACCTCAAGGCCCCGGTCTTAAAGTTCGTAAAGATCCTCGTCGTCCTTTTGCTCGGAAGGTTACAGAAGCTCGAAAGATGATGGCTGGCCTGAAGTCCATCAAGAAGGTGCTTCGGCTCCCCGGCTCTGTGCTATCCAAGAAGAGACTCAGGAAGCGACCTCGACCGGAAGAGCCGGCTTCCGAGTTCAAGCCGGGAGGGGCGAGCGAGGAGGACCTCAAGTACTTAGAGGAGATCGGAGCCATCCCCTCTCCGATTGAGGAGCCGGCTCCACCTGAGGCACCCCCACTTGATGGAGCCCCAGATGCAGTAGATCCTCCTCCTCTCTCCGGTGTTCCAGCAGATGTTCCTCCACAGAACCCAGAGTACGATTGTCTGGATGATTTGCCCTGGCAGCTTAAACGCCGCCCTGACCCTCCGAACCCTGGGGATGATGGCGAGTCAGCTGCGAAGAGGGCTCGAGTGGATGGACTCGAGAACTATGTCATGGCGGCAGCGGCAGAAGAAGTTCTACAGGACAACGAACTCCTGAACGAGTGGCTTCCCCATCAGGAGGTGGAGCAGCTTGCTGAGCTTACTGGAGTTCCTTTGACAAGTGCTCGGATCCACCGGGCCCCAAGGAAGCGCTTTCAAGGACCAGGCCGTTTCAAGAACCGGCCCAGGGTGACGATGATGCTGACCAAGGAAGGAAAGGCCCTGGTTTCGCGAGAGGCCTCTTCAGAAGTGCGTGAGCATCCCCGTCGCAAAGCTCCTTTTCTGTGGCGAGGCATGACACTGTTTCCTAAGGTCGCTTCGAAGAAGATCTTTGTGGCCTCAGAAGACAAGGTTTACAAGGCTCGGCAATGCAAGGAGGTGTTCCTCAAGGTGAATTCGCATGTGTACCAGGCCACTGTGGATGACTCTGAGGTGATCCACGCCGCGGCCCACGACATTGCCTCCGACCGCCTCGCAAAGGAGGCCTTCTTGCTGAAGATGAAGGCCAATGGAAAGGAGCTCGACCCAAAGCACTTCAATTCCGAAGAGAGGTTGAAGTTCGATGCCGCCGATGCCAAGGAGTGGGAAGCTTGGATCAAGAATGAGGTCATACGAAGACTTCCTCCCGAAGAAGCCCGGAAAATTCCTAAGGAGAGAGTGTTTCGAGTGCCAGCCCGCATCGTGAGAGTCAACAAGGCAGCAGTGGGCCAGGGAGGCTTGCTCGCGAAGAGCAGGATAGTCCTACCTGGACACTTGGACCCTGACCTCGGGACTCTCCGAACGGATGCTCCTACCACAACAATGACTGCTGTGAGAATGACAATGTGCTTGGGACTGGGTAGGGGCTTCAACTTTTGGACATTCGATGTCAGTACGGCATTTTTGTCTGGAAAGAAAGTGGGCCGTGAACTCTTTGTCCGTGCCCCCGGGGACCTCCGTGGCACTACAGCTGGGGAACTTTGGAAGATTCTCCGTTCAGCTTATGGGTTGTCTGAGGCCCCAAGGCTGTGGTATCAGAAAGCCCGGGAGGATCTCAAAACATGTGGCTTTGTGGAATTGGACTTTGCGCCCGCGACCTTTATCTACCTTGTCATAGTGAAGGGACGGCGCATTGTCAAGGCCATGTTGTGTTTGCACGTGGATGACGGCTTCATGGCGGTACATCCGGAAGTTGAGAACAAGATTCGGGAAACCATCAACATGCACTTCAGCATTAAGGAGTGGACCGCTTTGGGAGAGAAGCCGGTGCCCTTTCTCGGAATGAGGATCGCACTGGTGAAGGGCCAGATCCTGAACGACATGACCGACTACGTCCTGGCCGTCTCCCCCTCCAAGGTCTCTCCTGCTAAGGACAGTGTGTTAGAAGGTTTTTCTTTGAAGGAGTACCGAAGACTTGTTGCACAACTTCGTTGGCCGTCCCACCTCGTCCTCCCGGAGTTCCTCTACAGCGTGAGCAGTTTGGCACAAAGAGTGGGCAGCGCAACGGGCGCTGACTTGGAGAAGGCCAACTCGGTTCTTCAAGCTATGCAAGAAGCGGCCAAGAAAGACCAGGCCAAGCTGTGGATGAACCCTTGTTCAGCCTCGGCTGTTCTACTCACCTACTTCGACGCAGCGCTCGGAAAGGCGGGGCAACATGTTGCCCAAAGAGGGGAGCTCCACTTCTTGGCGGAACCACAGGTCTTCGAAGGCCACGGGAGAGCAAGCGTGTTGGAATATCATTCGAATAAGGTGGCCCGAGTGGTGCGCTCTTCGATGGCAGCCGAAAGCTGCGCCATGGCCTCCGCCACCGACAGGATGATCTACAACATAAAGCTCTTCGACGCGTTGGCCCACGGCATCTTGGAGGTGAACAACAACTGGAGGGACCAGCTAAAGACGTCTGGCCACTTGGTGACGGACGCCCGCTCGCTTTTCGACCACACGAATGGAAGCAGCCTTATGGCAAGCGAGCGACAGACTGCTTTGGACATTTTGTCGGTGAAGCAGCTCGTGCAGCAAAAGGTCCTCCGCCTGTGGTGGGTCCCAACTTGGAAGCAGTTCGCCGACTCGCTGACCAAGGAGATGCTCGACGAGCTTTTCCAACGCTACCGTACCACTTCATCCTTGAATGTGGTGCAAACAGATGAAGATCAGTTGGAAGAGGAAAAACGTGCTTCTCTGAGGCGAGCTCAAAGAGAGCGCCGAAAGATTCGGATGAATGCTGTTACCAAGGGTATCAAGAAATAGTTCTTGGAGCCCGCATCCGTTTAATGAAGCAGATCAGGAGCAACATTCCTCTTTTGGGATGTGATGCATACAGTGCAGGCTTTGCTCCTGAATCACTTTCCATGTCGCAGCATCGATGCTTCGCAAACTTAGCTGCAAAAGCCCTGCTGTGCTTGCTTGCTTGCTGGTTGTGTGGTTTCTTGTTGGAATCATACCTTTAAGGTGTCGGGTTTTTCCACACGCCATCCGGTTTTGGGGTTTGGGGCTTTCCAAGCGCTTTTTTCCTTTTGGGGTGTCGGGTGTGCCAGACGACGGGAGAAGTTGGGTGAAGGGTGGGCCGCCCCCACTCTGACATCTGAGCCTAGGATGGGGTGCTCCATGGCCCAAGCTGGTCAGTGGTGCCGGTCACGGACTTCGACGGAGAATACGTCGCGCAGGGTCCAATTGAAGCTGTGATGCACAGATGCCAGGAACCTACTGTTGGAGGCTCCCGAATGTACCAACCACGAAACAGATTTCTCCTCTTGCGATCTTGGGCGTAGCTAGCCCTGCGATTATCTTTCATTAGGGATGCAAGTGCAGGCCGGCAGATTGTCGGACTTTGAGGCCCGATACGGTGCAACCCACAGACCTTACCTTAGATCCCGACAATCCGAAGGCTTTGCTTCTCTTTGCTGAGGAAAGACAGTGTGCTCTGTGCGGTTGCGCCATGTCCAACGCTGCCTGACACCGAGCTTGCTGAGGAGCGGGACTTCTCGCCACCACGGCAGCCACCGAGGCCCGAACACGAAGTTGGGAGCATCTCACAGCTCTCCCTTCCCCAAACTGCCAGGCCCAAGCCGACGTTGCTCACCTTCGCCTCCAGCGAAGCCCAGATCGCGGAAGAGTGCAAGGAGCTGGTCCCGGACTGGGAGGATGTGCCTTGGTCAACACACGGCTTCGTGCCAGCTGAGTGGAATCAGCGGGCTCACACCTTGCAGCATGCCGTCACTTCCCTGCCTTGCATAAGGACCCGGTTTAAGCAGCGTTTTCACGAATCCATGGACACGTCGGCATTCGAGAGACCTCGGACCGAAGCCCTAGGCCCTCGAAACCAAGGTCAGCAAAGAGTTGCCCGCAAGCAATCCATGCCAATTCGTGCCGCCGCCTTGGCATTCTGCGCGACAGCTTTGGGCTCTCGGGTTGGATTCTTTCAGGCTTTCAGGCCAAAGAGGCCAAAGTCGGCTACAGGTTTCAGGATTCCGCCGGAGCTTCGCATGCCAGGCCGTGCGATCCAGAAGGCTCAACGTCACACCAGCAGGGATGCGCTTGTGAAGATACGAATTCGTCGTTCTTCGGAGGGTACTGCAGCAACACGCAATTCGAGAGAAGGGCGCCCCCTAGCCGAGCCTGGCATCCTCCTCCGAGGTCGGGGAAGCCCTGGGCCAAGAACCCGAAGAAAGCGGCTCTGGAAGATGAAGGCAGCTTGGCCTCAGCTTGGCCGGTCCCATAGACAGTCGGAGAATGTGCAAAAATTAAAATATGTCGTCAGCCAAATGTCCGAAGCCTCAGGCGAGGGCTATGCCAGCTACTGGGACACAGTGACGCTCGGCTGGGTGAGGGCAACTGTCGGATACTCTCTGGCTAGAGTTCGGCTAGTCGACGCAGCGTCGCCCGATGAGGGCTTGCATTGACCTCCAAAAGCCCGAACTCTCAAAGCAACAGCCGAGCCTACTCGCGCTGCAGAGGAATAATGTTGGGGGCGCCGGCTTCAGCTACGAGCAGGTGTTGGATTGCTTCGCTCGAGAGGATGCGCGGAACCGAATGGATCTAGAGGACGAGTATGACTCTGAGCTGCATGAACGGATACTGGAACTGCTGCACTACTGTCGTTCGCCCGGGGTTTTGGTTTTGGGAACTGTGCCCCCAACTTTCACTTCCAACTTTCTGTCATCCTTTTCCATGTTTGTTTACGGGTTTCCTCCCCTTCATTTTCCTTGTGGGCTTGGCCCCCTCCCCCCACTGTATTTAAGGTTTTGCGTCAGCACCCACATCTCCTTTGAGGTGTTTAGGCTTCCCAACCACGATTTCCGCTGCTGGGCTTTCCACTCAGCACTCCTCCAGGGGTTCCGCACTCATTCCCGTGTAATTATAGGCGGGTTCTAGGGATTTGAGTTTTTGCATCCCCCCCCCCCCCTCCCCACCCCCCATCGGGGTTTCGAGCTCCACCTGCTAGCCCACCTTTGCGACGCTCCTGGGCTCACAGCCTTGGACTCAAACGACTCGAGGCTTTGACCGTGAATTTCGGGCTTCTCTGCCTCATACCAAACACGCAACAATCTGGCGGTTGGCCTGTTGCCACTGATCTGTTTGGGTCAGGTGCCAAGCTTCCGAGCAATTTTCGGACCTGAGATAGATTCAATTCCCGGAACAGAAAGAAACTCGGACACAGCCTTTGTTTGTCGTGCCCTGCAGCCAAACCAGATCAGGATGCCGCCAGAATCGTCACAAGCTTGAACGAGGCGCCGACTGGTCAAACCGTTGCGAGGTGCATCACTTGAGCCCAGCTGAAGCGCTCACATCTGACTGCTATTGTAACCTGGTGAAAGAGGGAATTTGTCTGCACGTTGGCTTTGGAATCCCTGAAATCAGGTGAACGTCTTTGTCCATGGCGTCTGCTCTGCTATTCCATCTTCTGTCCTCTCCCCCTTCGGCTTCGGATTGATGGAGAACTGGGGAGACATTTGCGGTTCTGCACCCCGGATTTTCAATCCGAGCAGGCTTTGCTTGTTGCAAGCTTTAGTTTCTGTTGTGGAGTCAACTTTACGAGCGCTGAATTCCACTGTTTGTTGCAGTTCGGTGCAACCAAGGTGTTTGAAAAAGGACTGGTCGAAAGCAGTACCTGGTTCACGGAAGCACGGACTGCGAGGCAGCCGTCCGGTCCGAAAAGGTTGACAAGCCGTCAGAACTCCATGCCTTTATGGTTCATGGCATGGGTTTTGTGTTGTGATATGTTGTGATGTAATTATTGTTAAAGTCAATCAGCGGTTTGAAGTTCGAAGATGCAGGGGCATCTCTGAGCGCGCAGATGCCGCTCAGAATGACTGCATCGGTGCGGCTGCTGCATTCGCCCGGGTGGTCTGCGACCTCCACTGCGTGAAGGCGAGCTACACGTTGCCGCCATGGAAAACCTTGTAAAGCCGTGCAGCCCTGAACGCCCTATGCCCTAAACCCCGAAGCCGGACACCACAAAAGCCCCAGAACCCGAAAGCCCTCAGAGGATGCCATCCAAAGCGGCAATTTGGCGGTGCGCCAGTCCTTAGAGCAGGCCGTTGCGGTGCTCAACAGGAGCCTCGGAGGAGATGTTGGCAGCTATGCTCGGGATCAAGGGCGCTCCGACGTCTATCTTGATCTGTCTGTCCTGTCCTGTCCGTCTATTTATCCTCTATGTCTAGATTTAAACAAACACACACAAACACACACAC